AATATACGACTTCTGTACGTCAACACCCATACCGTACGCATCCGAACCAACCCTGATAGAGTCCATATAGCGTCCTACTGCAGACCAGTGGAAGATACTTACTTATTGTAGAGTAAACAATTGTGAAATATCTGGTCCATATCTTTCTTGAACTCTTCGGGGTTCGGGTACAACGGGATACGCTTTTTAACGACACCAAGATCCATCGGCTCCTTTATTATGTTATAGTAATCCTTCACAACGGCTTCTTCCAGATCATACCTGACATCATGCGATAAGACAAAAGCCTCTCAACTTCGCGAACGGTCTTCACTGAAGCCAATGGGAGACTTGACAACTCAATGGAATCAACACCACAAAACGTTACTTGAACAGAGCCTTGTCGAATATATAGCAGATCTTGGTTCCCGATACAGGATCCTTCGTGTTGCGCGCAGCACTAAGGATGCGGTTTAGATACCTGAGTGAGGCAGCTTGGTTCATGCCAATCGGCCGAGCCTGAATTACCATCGCCACTCGCGTTCTTCCCCGGCAACCGATGACGCCGCCGCCGCCGCTGCTTCCCCAGGCGTATCCGGGGCTTGCGATCGAGCCGGACTCGTACGTCGTGAGCTTTTAGATGCTCCCTATATCACAGAGCGTGGAAGATAACCAAGACGAGAAATGGAGAGTCACCTTAAGCTTATGGGAACTTCTTGGCTTGCTCGACTTCTTAGCAGAAGGCGGCGAGGCAAACGCATCGACAATAGACTTCTTCTTCTGTTCAGCAGCCCTCCCGGTAGCGGTTGATGATACAACCTCGCCTTTAGTCTCCGTCACAGCTCCGGCATTTGTCTCTACTGTCTCGGGTGAACTCGAAGGAGTTTCAGTGTCCACTGAGGCAGGAATAATCAGCTTGCACACTAAAGAGATGCGTGTGGGATGCACGTCTATAGAATTATGGAGTAGCCATGTTGCTCAGCTGGGATCGCTTCAATGTATGAACCCTGGCGGTGGACTCACTTGCGATAGGCTCGCCGAAGAGATCTTCCTTAGGGGTCTCGCCACCACCCACAGCAACCAACTTGGGCGACTCAACCGGTTCGTCTCCGACACTACTATGGTCGGCATCTTCTCTCGGAGACGCTATAATGTCATCTATAAGACACATACATAACTGTTCAGCTCGTGAACAACAGCGCAGCCGTACTCTGT